TAAGAGTTTACAAATTATTGATCTTTAAAATAAAAATATGACCAACAGATCTAAGAAATCCAGAAAATACTTCATAGTTTAATTAATGAAACATCATAGAATATTTTTGTGGTTCCAAAATAAGGCTGTAGATTTAGATTATATTATTGAAAAATGAACCTCTCTTGATTATGACTACTCTTAGAATTTAAAAAAAAGTGTGTCATTAATGGCATGTGATATTATTTATTAATTGAATTTTATTAGGTCACCTGAGTCACTCAGGTGACCTATTGCTATCTGTTTTTGTCCGTCGTCGTCCGTCGTACGTCGTTCGTCGTACGTCGTTCGTCGTCAATCGGTCGTAAACTTTTGAACATTTTCAGCTTCTTCTCTGCAACCACTGAACCAATTTCAACCAAATTTGGCACAAAGCATCTATGGGTGAAGGGGAACAAAAATTGTGAATTTCATGATCCCTGCCCCCTGGGGCCTGGGGGGTGGGGCCAAAACCACTAAAATTAATGCAATCTTTAAAAATCTTCTTCTTTACACCTGGACATCAAGCAGTCAAACTGTATGCATGATTGTAATCAGCATTGAGTCCTTTACCAAAATTGTGAAATTCATGGCCCTGGGGTCAGGGGTACTTGTGCTGGGGCGGAGCTAAATAAGTATATAGTGAAAATCCATTATTTCTTTAAAAATCTTCTTCTCTGCTCCTGGGTATTAAATAAACTAACTAAGTACATAGTTATGATGAGCAAGAGTGCCTCTACCAAAATTGTGAATTTTATGGCCCCAGGGTCAGGGGTTCTGGTGTTAGGGCGGGGCTCTATTGATTATATAGTGAAAATACATTATTTCTTTGAAAATCCATTTCTCTGCTTCTGGGTATTAAATAAACAAACTAAGTACATAGTTATGATAAGCAAGATTGCCTCTTCCAATATTTTGAATTTTATGGCCCCAGGGTCAGGGATTCTGGTGTTGGGGGGGGGGGGGGCTGTATTGATTATACATGTATAGTGAAAAAACATTAAATCTTTGAATATTTTGTTCTTTGTTCCTAGGTTTTAAGCAAATGAACTACCTATATAGTTATGAGCAAGGGACCTAATCTTCAAGAATTGTAAATTTCAAGGCCCCAGGGTCAGTTGTACCATGGGGGGGGGGGCTGTACTTAAATACTGAAAATGAATGAATTGTTTGAAATGTGCTCCTTGGTATTAATCAAATTTTTTTGAAAAGCAAGGATGCCTTTCCAAAAATTGTGCAATGTGTGGATCAAAGCCTAAGAGTCAAGGATTCCTGTGTGGTAGCGGCACTACTGATTATTGCTGAATATTACTGATTTGTTGAAATGCATTTTTTGTTCCCCTACCCTGCCTATGGGTATTAAGTAACCAAACTAAGGAACTGCTAAGTGTATAGTTATGATTACCAAATTGTAAATGCTATAGCATCTGGCTTAAAACAGATTCAATCACTGGAAAGTTGTTGAATAATGCTCAGGTGACCTATAAGGCCCATGGGCCTCTTGTTTGTTTTATAAATATATCTTGTTTTGTTTTTATGAATTGATAGCCAAAATATTGATATCCAATAAAATACTTAATATAAAATCTGATTTATTCTCTTGTCAGAGACTGAATGTATTTAAATCACCTAGGCTACAGATGCTTTTGTTTCTGTGCTTTTCATTGTTTTCATCTTTTTAATGTGATTAATATATTCCAGGCATGTAGCATCATTTTTGAATGTGGGGGGCCAACCAGAGAAAATTTTTTTTTACTTACCTGAAAAAGTTGACAAGCAAAAAAAAAAAAAAAAAAGAAATAGCCCAAACTCGAAAATCCTATTCGGAGGGGGGGGGGGGGGGGGGGGAGGGGTTGTACCGGTATAGTGGATAACTTTTTTCAAGGCCAACTTCCTTTCACTTACATTTTTTTCCATACAATACTACATATCCTTGATATCATTATACCATGGTAAAAACTGGGGGGGGGGGGGGGGGGGGCAACCAACTTTTCAATAGACATTTTCAATAGTAAACGGGAAAAAAGTGGGCCCCCCACCCCCACCCCTGTTGCTACGTCCCTGTATTCATCGTTTAAATTGGTATCTATCTTTCATGAGAAATAAAAACATTGAAGCACAGACCATCTACCATTGATAACACAAGCTGATAATCATCCATATTTCTTAATTCATATTTATTCATACAATATTTTAGCACTTGTGCAGAAGTGAAAATTGTTAATTTAGCATCATGTTGTAATGTTACAAATAACATTTGTTTACTTTTTGGGGTATATGTTTTGTTTAAATGATATTGATATCAAGAGACACAAAACTGTTATCAATTTGTGTTAACTAGAATTTAAAAATAAATTATTTTTAAATATTGGTCCTTTTTCTTATCAAAAGTTAGTGCAGACCTGGATAAATATAACTATAAAATATGCATGCATTTATAGAAAGCAGAAATAAAGCTCAAACAATGTATCTGGAGGAAAATGAGCAAAGGCTACTAATTAATACCACCAAAATAAAATATTTGTATGGAAAGTTACAAGTACAACAACTGAAAACTAATGCTTGTCCTCTCCAGAGCAATCGTTGGGGCCCAAGGAAAGCAGTTAAATTTCTTTTGCTGGGGGGGGGGGGAAACATTTTTAGTTAGGGAAACTCAAAGAGGACACTACCTTGATAAGCAAAAGGAATTCTTCAAACTTAATTAATGAGGGGCCATGTTTTTTAATGACTATCCTACCCGGTATATATAAGAAAATCATCGAGGGAGATTAGCACACTTGTTCCTACGGACATTTACATTTATCAGCTTTAGTCACCAATCAAGGGCCCTCAGGGAGCTTATACAATAACGACAGTATGACCACAATTAGATAAGGTAAAAATATATTGTACATGTACATTTGTATATGAAATATTAGTAAAATATGTCATGGAGGTATACATGCACAGCTAAATCAAGGATTGAAAACAGAAGGCAATATAAATAAGGAGTATATGAAATAACGATAGCTATAATTTAAATTTTAAAGGACAAGCAAGAAAAGTTGTTTTTAAAACATCAATGATACACTTAATTTTTTTTATTGAAAGAAAGAAAACTGTCAGACTTTATTTATTTTCAAAAACATCATTTCGGGATAAAAAAGTCAAAACTTGTCTAATAGGCATATTTTCTTTAAAGCCATATATGGCGTATGTACAATGAAAATTATTAGACTAAAATTATAAGAACTTATTATTTGTATCATTACTTTGTATAAAGATAGACCTTTATAGACCTGTCTCTTTGTTGAGTTGTGTAAGTAAAATATCTGAAAGGATTATTTTCAAACATGTGTACAATTACCGACATTCAAAAAATCTTTTTTATAAATATCAGTCAGGTTTTTTTTACCTGGGCACTCTACTGTATATCAACTTCTAGAAATATACCATTCTATTGTGAAAAGTATAGATGAAGGTAAATTCTGCTGTATGGTGCTCTGTGATTTATCCAAGGCATTTGATAGAGTATGGCATAAAGGCTTAATTCATAAACTTCAAATGTACGGAATTAATGGTAAAATGCTAAAATGGTTTGAAAGTTATTTAAGCAATAGAACACAACAAGTCAAGTACAGAAATCTGCTCTCTTCCATTGGTTATGTAAAAGCTGGAGTCCCTCAGGGATCTGTACTTGGACCACTCTTATTTTTGATATATGTAAATGATGTTGCTCAAAATATGATATCTGTTTGTAGATTATATGCTGATGATAATTCTTTACAACAATGTTCAGATAATATTAATCATATTGAACAAAATCTTAATCATGATCTTAAAGTATTACATGAATGGTCGAAAAAATGGCTGTTGAAATTCAACCCACAGAAAACAAAAAGGCTTAGCTGTATTTTTTCATTTGAAAGCTGTGCAACAATTTCCAAATCTAATTTTTGATAATTGTCAAATAGAATATGTCACACAACATACACATCTTGGGATACTTCTGTATTCAAATATGGGATGGTCTGATCATATTGATATCATTGTAAAAAAGGCTTACAAAAAAACTTGGTTTACTGAAAAAACTAAAATTTAATGTGTCAAGGGATATTTTGTCCCAGATGTATATTTCTTTTATCAGACCACAACTGGAATATGCAGTTGAAGTTTGGTCGGGGTGTACAAAGGCAGACATAGAAAAGCTTGAGAAAGTTCAACTATTTGCTGCTAGAATTGTAACAGGTCTTACACTTATTGCTTCTAAAAATTCACTTTATCTGGAAACTGGATGGGAACCATTGGAAAATAGAAGAAATCGAACAAATCTAGTAACAATGTACAAAATACACAATAATTTAGTACCTACTTATATTCAAAATATAGTACCTGATATTAGAGGCAACATTTCACAATACTCTACTAGAAATTCCTCCAATTATTCCTTGCCAAAATGCAGATTAGAATTATTCAATAAATCCTTTATTCCAGATACTGTTAGAAAGTGGAATGCAATCAAAATTAACATAAGGGAGGCAACTTCTTTGAAAAGTTTTAAAATATGCTTGTCAAGCAATATTGTAAAACCTCCAAAGTATTTTTCTTTGGTAAGAGATTTTGGAATATTATTCACACAAGGTTAAGACATAATTGTATTTTAAATTCTGATCTATTTCGGTGTAATTTAATTGACAGTCCGAATTGCTCATGTGGACAAATAGAGGACAGTTGCGTATTTAAATAAACTTTTATATGAATTCTGGATAAAAACCAAGAAACAATTTATTAATGTACTGCTTCTGGAATAGCAAATTTTAACAAATTATATCCACGGGCACTGGAAGTTAATGTAAATATATAGTATGTATTTACATTAACTTCCAGTGCCCGTGATTATATCATTGTTGACAAGTTTACAAATAGGCCTAATTGATATCTGTTTTCCCATAATTATAGAAAAAAATATGGATTATAGATACATTCCTTTGTTATTTTTTCAGATGGCTTTATCTAAAATTGATATTCCCCGCCGAGCCCAGCACTTTTTAGAATGTGGCATTGAAGAATGTGAAAGAAACTGCGAGTTCTACTGCAACCTTTGTCATCAAAGATTGTGTAAACAATGCAGAGATGAACATCTGAAAAGTCCAGAAAACAAGAACCATGAGGTGGTCCTTTACCAGCAACGTAAACGACAACTTCCTGTGGAGAAATGCAAGATCCACCCCACTAAAGATGTGGACATGCTCTGTGAAGAATGCCAAGTTTCGTTATGTTCTAAATGTGCGACAAAGGGAGACCACCAGAAACATACATTTGTTGATCTTGAAGCAGTCTACGCGGAAAAATTTGCACTCTTCCAACAGGAAATCTCCAAAATTCACGAGTATTTTCTCCCTACATCACAAGATTTACAGAAAGAGATTAAAAAAGATTCCTCAGAAATCAAATACCTTATGGACAACATCAGAACATCCATGAAGACTGAAGGTGAGACCCTGAAAAGTCTGGTGGACACAGTCATATCTGATAACATGAAGCAGTTAGACCAGATAGAGCAATCACTGTTAGAAGATCTAAACACCCAAGACAAGACATTGGATGATTACATCACTTATCTCAATAACCTTGTCAAAGAGCTCCACAGATGCCTGTCCTCTACAGAAACCCAGAAATTAATGTCTGAGAAGAAACCAAAGATTCGATCCATACCAGAGACAACAAAACCAGTCACACCAGGATTTACTGCTGGTCAATACAACAAAAGTGATGTCTTCAAGCTACTTGGTAAAATACATGTCCCCATTACTAAAGCAGAGAAGAGAGAAATAAGGGACATTGAAAGTGTCTACAATACAGCAATGAAACCTACACATAAACAGATGAAAGAAGACAGAAAGAAATCTAACAAGAAACAAACAATGTCTCTATCTGCCTCTGTCACCAAGGTCAAGGAGTTCAAAGTACCAGGTGTTGATCGTATATTACATGTATCACTAGATCAATCAGACAGACTCTGGATCAGTGACAATAAGGGTAATCTTGTCCAAACAGATCTACGGGGGAATGTGATACAGAAGATAAAAACCAGTGGTTTAGAAGGTTACCACACAGTCACCCAGGGCGGGGATCTGATCTTTACAGACCCAGAAAAGAAAGTCATCAATAGGATAACACAGGATAATAATATCACTGAATTCATTAAAACTGGAGACTGGGAACCACTCAGCATACACTCCTCCCACATCAACGGGGACTTACTGGTGGGGATGGTGGGTAAAGTCACCAGGTACAAGACAGGAAAAGAACTGCAGAACATACAGAGAGTTAACAAAGGACAGGGACTGTATGGTGGACCACACTACATCACAGAAAACATCAATGGAGATATCTGTGCATCAGACATTAATAAAGATGCAGTAGTGGTGGTGAATAAATCAGGACAACACAGGTTCTCCTACAAAGGTCAAGGGTCAGAGTTCTTGCCCTTTGGAATCTGTACTGATGTCCTCGGTCACATCCTGGTGTGTGATAGATACAGTGACACTGTTCACCTTCTTGATCAGGACGGTCAGTTCTTGTCTCTATTATTCACACAACAACAAAGGGTGTTTGCTCCCCGTAGTGTGTGTGTTGATGATGAGAACAATCTCTATGTAGGACAATATAACACCAACACACTGACAGTGTACAAGTATCTACAGTGATTATTATTCTGTCATTAAATCAGTTATTTGAATGAAACTTTTTAAAAACAAGAATATATATGGTGGTTATGTATATAATTATCATTTTTTTCTATCCAATTCATGACTCTAATTTTCAAATAAAAACATGTTTAAATTATATATTTGATATGTAGAAAAAAACTCAATACAAATTATACATTTACAGTTACATATAGGTTCACATGAATATGTGCATGTTTGTAGTAGTCTACTGTGTATGTGAAAGTAAATATTGCAGTTACATGTACTCTATTAGTTACACATACTTTATAATAACCGCATATCTGCGGTGTTTTTCTTTGATCTTTCTGTGGTGATATATCCCATATCACATATGCGATAATACTTTCCACGCCCCTTCATATATCACTGCAGGGTGGGCTGGGAAGCTTTGGATCATCGAACTTTTTCCAGTACCATTTTTCAAATAAACACTACCATATACCTTTTAGACTCAAAGTAGAACATGTATGCTGAAAGTGAAAGACTCATCTTACGTCCCATTGTTCATTGTCTATATTTTGTCAATCTTTGCAAAAAAGTGAGGAGGATAAGCCCCCCTAGTCCCCCCAACCCCGGTTCCAACGCCTATGAGCAACATGTAGCTTTGTTTTCTAAACACTTCAATACAATACCTATAGGAAAATTATTAGGGGAGTGTGACTATGCACCCTGAATCACCCTGCACGTGCATAACTACCGGTAAATCATTAAATAAAAAAAAAAAACAGAAGGCCATGCATAAGGAGAAAACAATTTGAATTCATACATTTATTTACGATATCTTTAATTCAAAATATTTGTGATTCTATTTTAATGACAGGCAAAGTTTTTTTTTATTATTTTATGAAAAAAACTGACTTTCTTTATTTTTAGAGTGAAACATCTTTCGGAACACATACATATTAAGTCAAAAATAGTTCACTAGGTATTCTTTCTTTCTTTCTTTCTTTCTTTCTTTCTTTCTTCCCCCCCTTTTTTTTGCTTTGTAATTTTTCGCATGACACATATCACTTTTTATATTTCTACAACAGGATATGCAGTGCATATTTTATTTTCCAAATATTTCAATACGTATGAGAGAGAGAGAGAGAGAGTCCCATACATTTCAGTTTGTCGTAACGAAAATTAAATGTAGATGTAAAGTATTAATAAAAAAATGACTCGTACTACTGAAGTGCAGAAATTTTAAGGTTTTATTGAATTTTGCATTATATACGCTGGTATTTACCAGTTATTGCCTGACGTCACCGCGTCAGGCTGTATAAGGATTGATAATTGCTTGATCCGAAACTAATAGATCATACCCAGAGAGCTAGATTTTGTGCAAGCTGATTTACATTGGAAATCTTTTACTTGCATTTTAAAAGAAACATTTTTCAGGGAAACAATGATTTTACTGATGCAAAATAATGCAGTATTTACTTTGTATACTCTGTTTGCATGAAACAGATTATTCCATGTGATTTACCGTTTCAACGTGTCCGTGTATCTTTTTTTCTGCACTTCTATACTACTGGGTCAGTCCATTTATATTCTACTAAAGGGCTCTTTTCGCGCCAAATGTCACGAGTAAGCGATCTTGGATTGTACTATTGTATGAATGGGGGTGCTAACTTCCATGGAATTTACATGTAATAAAGTTTGTTATTGTTACCTCCATCTTCTAATGAATCAGAAATTCTGTCTAATAAATTTTATCTTATCCTTAAAACAGCATATGAATCGTACATGTATCAGAATATGGACATGCAAAACAAAAGAAATGATTTCTCTAATTTGTTTTCCCTCTGTTGGTTTATTCCATATTTTAATGGACTAGTCCAATCACCACAAACGATCGACGCAGTTCAACCAGATTCCAGACGATTTGACAAAAGAAATTACCTGTGCGAAATCTTGGATTTCTTTTCCACAGAGGCTTTAATGTTGGTTTTACCTATTTCGTTCTCAACAAATTATAGTAACCACCTTTCAGAAAAAAGATCAATGAACACAAACTACTACTGTTTACTTCATTGGAGAAAATGCTTTCCTACAACATGTGTATTTAGTTTTATCCCATGTTTAACCCTTTATCCCGTTGATATAGCTCATGTGATATCGTTTTCATATCACACAGTTGTGACGTCACAATGGATTTTGCGTTAGAGTGATGAAGTAAAATGAAATGGAGTCCTATATAAAAACAATGTCAAACATTGTTCTTGGTGTAAAAAAACATGGGATAAAAAGAATCTCACATGATTTGTAGTTGGATATGATTTTTATCCAACTCGTTGTGTGTTTTTATCCCCTCGCCAAGGCTCGGGGATAAAATCCACACAACTCGTTGGATAAAAATCATATCCAACTACAAATCATGTGAGATCCTATATATATCCATTCTCTAAAATATTCACAATGAATGATTTGACAACAGATTTCAGAATAGGTGTAGCTTTAAATTTAGATCCAGGGGTAGATCAATCTACTTGCAGAAAAGTCAATCGCATCATCTCGGGTCTTTTCGTCAGAGGTCGAAAAACAAACTCGAATGTATCGACATCATCGGATGTTTAAAATTTTCCTGTTCATAGTAAAAACGGAGTTAGAAGTCCCTACTATAGTATATTTTAGATAATATCATTACATTTAATAAAGTTAACTCCATATTCCACAGATAATAGGTCTATATACATAATCCATGCTTTTATTTCAAAGTTTGTGAAAAAGGGGGGGGTTCATGGCGTATAAATTAACAATTACATTTGTGGACCTCTTCCCTAGATAAGGCCCGAGGAGTGGGACCGAGGAGTTGCGATTGGCAGAAAACCCACATACATTAACCATTCTTTTAACAACTCTTCAGAATGCAGCAAAGGCATCGTTCTTCTACAAGTTACATGTGTAAATAATTAAATATTTTTACAGGGTTCTCAAATAAAAAGACATATTTCAAACACAAAAAAGTATTGCTCAAAAGGTTTATCACTTCTCTTACAGATATTGATTGATTAAGTCAGGCAAGCTTTTTGAAAAGCTGTTACTTGTGGGTATTTATCCAGTGTATCCAGGAAGTAAATTACAAATCTCGTTCAAGTCTCAACTGAAATCTCATTTGACATTCCAACGTCTAGCTATCTATCAACAATGTCGTTTGTCGGTCATTCATAAAAGCTGTAAGTACAGAATGTACTCTGAAGAACATTTCAATAATCTTTTGAATGAATTATGGAGAAAAAAAATCAAGAAATTATTGATGTACTAGAATAGCAAACTGAATGCATATAATATCATAATTGGTGTCTGTGAGATTTTTACAAATAATTAAAATCTGTTTCCACCAAATATTTCGAAAAAGAATATTGATTAGCACATACGTGCATGTATAAAACATATATTCCTATTTTTTTTTAGATGGCATTATCTAAACAAGATATTCCTCAGCGAGCCCAGCATTTTTTAGAATGTGACATTGAAGAATGTGAAAGAAACTGTGAATTTTACTGCAACCATTGTCATCAAAGATTGTGTAAACAATGCAGCGAGGAACATCTGAAAAGTCCAGAAAACAGGAACCATGAGGTGGTCCTTTACCAGCAACGCAAACGACAACTTCCTGTGAAGAAATGCAAGATCCACCCCACTAAAGATGTTGACATGTTCTGTGAAGAATGCCAGGTTCCATTATGTTCTAAATGTGCTACAAAGGGAGAACACCAAAAACATACATTTGTTGATCTTGAAGCAATTTACACAAAAAAATTCACACTCTGCCAAAAGGAAATCTCCAAAATTCAAGAGTATTTTCTCCCTACATCGCAAGATTTGCTGAAAGAAATTAAAAAAAACTCCTCAGGAATCAAAAACATCATGGACAACATCAGAACATCAATGAAGACTGAAGGTGAGACCCTGAAAAGTCTGGTGGACACAGTCGTATCTGAGAACATGAAGCAGTTAGACCAGATAGAGAATTCACTGTTAGAAGATCTAAACACCCAAGACAAGACCATGGATGATTACATCACTTATCTTAATAACCTTGTCAAAGAGCTCCACAGATGCCTGTCCTCTACAGAAACCCAGAAATTAATGTCTGAGAAGAAACCAAAGATTCGATCCATACCAGATACAACAAAACCTGTCACACCAGGATTTATTGTTGGTCAATTCAGCAAAAATGATGTCACCAAATTACTTGGTAATATTCAGGTCCCCAATACTAAAGCTGAGAAGAGAGAAATTAGGCCCATTGAAAGTGTCTACAAAACATCAATGAAACCTACACAGAAACAGATGAAAGAAGACAGAAAGAAATCTAACAAGAAACAAACATTGTCTCTATCTGCCTCTTTCACCAATCTCAGGGAGTTCAATGTACCAGGTGTTGATGAAGTATACCATGTATCACTAGATCAATCAGACAAACTCTGGATCAGTGACAGTAAGGGTAATCTTATCCAAACAGATCTACAGGGGAATGTGATAAAGAAGATAAAAACCAGTGGAAGATACGAAGGTTATCACACAGTCACACAGGTCAGGGATCTGATCTTTACAGACAAAGACAAGAAAGTCATCAATAGGATAACACAGGATAATAAAATCACTGAATTAATTAACACTGGAGACTGGAGACCACTCAGCATACACTCCTCCCACATCAACGGGGACTTGCTGGTGGGGATGATGAAGAATAGAGAGGGTAAAGTCACCAGGTACAACAAGACAGGAAAAGAACTACAGAACATACAGAGGGATGACAAAGGACAAAAACTGTATAGTAAACCACTCTATATCACAGAAAACATCAATGGAGATATCTGTACATCAGACTATCATAATCGGGCAGTAGTGGTGGTGAATAAATCAGGACAACACAGGTTCTCCTACACAGGTCGGGGGTCAGTGTTCAGTCCCTGTGGAATCTGTACTGATGTCCTCGGTCACATCCTGGTGTGTGATACTGTCAGTAAAACTTTTCAACTCCTTGATCATGACGGTCAGTTCTTGTCTCTATTACTCACACCACGACAAGGGGTAAAGTATCCCCGTAGTGTGTGTGTGGATGATGAGAACAATCTCTATGTAGGACTATATGTCACCAGCACACTGACAGTATACAAGTATGTACAGTGATTCTGTCACAAAAACAGTTACTTGAATGAAACTTTTTTAAAAACAAGAATATTAATGGTGGTTCTATATAGTCATCATTTTTCCTATCCAATGCATGACTCTGATGTTCAAATAAAACATGTTTAAATTATATATTTGATATGTAGATTAATTCAATAAAATCAAAATAAATTTTTAATTGACTAATCTATTTTATATAGATTCAGACACATGAATATATGCATGTTTGTGGTAATCTACTGTGTATGTGAAAGTAAATTTTGCAGTTAAATGTACTCTATTAGTTACACATAATTTATAATTACATATTTTATTATATTCTTAATCAATGATTCATACTGAATGTCGTGTATCAATGATATTGTTACTAAAAATAAACTTTTAAGTTACATAATGTAATTGACTCTTATAAAGCTGATCTATTTGTTATAATTATTTCTTCAACATATTTAATACATACTAGTATTATGTAGAATTAAACGATTTTTTTTTTCTGTCAATTTAACTCTCTGAATTAAACACAGTTAAGGTGTTCAATCCATCCCTAATAGGATCAAATTCAATGAAATTAAATACATAACAGATATGTAGGCATTGAATACTCAGTTTATTTAGACATACTTCCCATTTATTATCATAAGTATCTGTAGTGGGATGTGTCCTAATTTATGACCTTGAATTTTGGTGAGAAGTATCTCCCCTTTTTGGATTAATAAAAAAATAAATTAAAAAAAAATTAGCACGTAAAAGAATTGTTTTCAAATGTCATTCTATTTTTAGTTTCAATGCATCTTCACCGCATGATTTATTAGTATTAAAATTATTTGAATTTTTATTTTGAAAAAAAAAACGATTTTCCCCATAGACTTCAATGCTATCTTTGTTAATTAACTACAGCTTAATTAATGACATTTTTAAAACTTTCTCACTGACAATCCTTTCCCATTATAAATGCCCTGTGGCTTTAGGAAGACCCTTGATTTTGAGGTCAACAGGTCAAAGTTCAAGGTCGATAAATTTAAACATTCTGTCTGTGTATATCACTATCCTTTCCGGACGATTTTTCACGATGATTTTGAGCTTTTGCAATGTAATTTTATACCAAAACTCCATAGGACCTCTCTCACCCCTCTTAAAGTGCCATGCCCGTTGTTTTATTAGTATTTATTGTATTACATGTCACTGGGGGCATTGGGAGAGTCATTACGTATAAAACAGGTTCTCGGCGGACTTTATGTTCTATTACATCTATCAGAAATGTTTGATAAAGATTAAATTAGATTCAATGCATTGTATAAAATTTTGACAATATCGAACGTGAATATAATCAATATATTCATGTATGTGACTTCATCTTTGCATATAATTTTCTCGTGTTTAAAGCGGTTCCGCAGTGTAGTGGTATGCCTCCCGTTTCATATGTGAGAGGTATTAGGTTCGATTCCCAGGCGATTCTTTTTTTGGAAATACTCTTTTTTTTACTAAATGATAGTATTCAGCATGTGAAATAAAAAATTTATGAGGTCTGGCTTGTACAAACTCATTAAATAATCATTAAAGTGTGATAAATATTCCATGTAAAAAAAAATCTTTCATACACAAAGTATACTAAGCGATCAAATCTGTACATCTATAATGGTATATTTTATTTGCTTCAATATACATGTATACATTGAATATTTATACAAATTCAGTCAGAGCCGGGATCCGACCCCCCCCCCCCCCTCACCCGAACTGTGCATGGTTTACTTTTTCCCTAAGCGGGGGACACGAATTCTCTGAATTAGCTTGTTACGTGTCTGACATTGATCTTTGACTGTTACATAAGCGTGTATCTTATAAAAACAGGGAGAAAGATATTTGTCAGCGAGCCCAGCACTTTTTAGAATGTGGCTTTGAAGAATGAGAAAAAACTGTGAGTTCTTCTGTAACTCGTGTCATCAAAGATTGTGCATACAATGCAGAGATGAACATCTGAAGAAAACAAGAACCATGAGATGGTCCTTCACAAGAACAGGAAATGACAACTCCCTGTGTAGAAATGCAAGATTCACCCCACTAAAGATGTGGACATGCTCTGTGAAGAATGCCAGGTTCCGTTATGTTCTAAATGTGCTACAAAGGGAGATCACCAGAAACATACATTTGTTGATCTTGAAGCAGTCTACGTTGAAAAAATTGCACTCTTCCAACAGGAAATCTCCAAAATTCACGAGTATTTTCTCCCTATATCACAAGATTTACAGAAAGAGATTAAAAAAGATTCCTCAGAAATTAAATACCTTATGGACAACATCAGAACATCCATGAAGACTGAAGGTGAGTCCCTGAAACGTCTGGTGGACACAGTCATATCTGAGAACATGAAGCAGGTAGACCAGATAGAGAATTCACTGTTAGAAGATCTAAACACCCAAGACAAGACCATGGATGATTACATCACTTATCTCAATAACCTTGTCAAAGAGCTCCACAGATGCCTATCCTCTACAGAAACCCAGAAATTAATGTCTGAGAAGAAACCAAAGATCCGATCCATACCAGAGACAACAAAACCAGTCACACCAGGATTTACAGCTAGTTAATACAACAAAAGTGATGTCACCAAATTACTTGGTAAAATACAGGTCCCCAACACTAAAGCAGAGAAAAGAGAAATAAGATCCTTTGAAAGTGTCTAGAATACAGCAATGAAACCTACACAAAATCAGATGAAAGAAGACGGAAAGAAATCTAACAAGAAACAAACAATGTCTCTATCTGCCTCTGTCACCAAGGTCAGGGAGTTCAATGTACCAGGTGTTGATCTTGTATTCCATGTAACACAAGATCAATCAGACAGACTCTGGAGCAGTGACAGTGAGGGTAATCTTGTCCTAACTGATCTACAGGGGAATGTGATACAGAAGATAAAATCCAGTGGTGGAGATGAAGGTTACCACACATGCAGTAACACAGGATCTTTACAGACAAAGACAAGAAAGTTATTAATAGGATAACACAGGATAATGATATCACTGAATTCATTAAAACCGGAGTCCACTCAGCATACACTCCTCCCACATCACCGGGGACTTACTGGTGGGGATGAAGTATGGGTATGGAGAGGGTAAAGTCACCAGGTACAACAAGACAGGAAAAGAACTACAGAACATACAAAGGGATAACAAAGGACAGGAACTGTATAGTTTACCACACTACATCACAGAAAACATCAATGAAGATAGCTGTACATCAGACTTTGATAAAGGAGTAGTGGTGGTGAATAAAGCAGGACAACACAGGTTCTCCTACACAGATCAAGGGTTAACTGCAAAGTTCTATCCCTATGGAATCTGTACTGATGTCCTCGGTCACATCCTGGTGTGTGATGATTACAGTAACACTTTTCACCTCCTTGATCAGGACGGTCAGTTCTTGTCTCTATTACTCACACCACAACAAGGGGTATACAGTCCCTGTAGTGTGTGTGTGGATGATGATTACAATCTCTATGTGGGACAAGGTCACACAAATATACTGACAGTGTACAAGTATATAAACTGATTATTATTCTGTCACAAAATCAGTTAATTGAATAAAACTTTTTTAAAAACAAGAATATTAATTGTGGTTATATATAGTCATCATTTTTTTTTTCTATCTATTTCATTATTCTAATTTTCAAATAAAATGATGATGTTTAAATTATATATTTAATTATTTATTATGTAGAATAAAAATCAATACAAACTTTAAATTAACTGTTATATATATAGGTTCACACGAATAATGTGCATGTTTGTAGTAATCTACTGTGTTATCTGAAATGAAGTATTGCAGTTACATGTACTCTATTAGTTACACATAAATTTTAAAATTATATATTTCAGTCTTAATCAATGATTCATAGAGAAATATTTTTAGATTTTATTTTAAGAGTCCATAAAAAGCATAAGTTCAAATTACTAGTATATGGTATGTTCAAACTTTTGAATTTTACCTAAAAAGGTTGATTGCTATTGATTGTATAATAGTAATCAAGTTTCTGGAATAGCAACATATTTTTGAAGAGTGAGAATAAAACCCTATGGACTTGAGATAGTGTATATATCAATTTAAAACTTGCTACATAGAGGTAGTGGATGACCAGAAGCTGCAGTAACAGCAGACCTAATTTTAAGAATCAAAAGATCAAGACCATTGATAAGGTTTCTTTTTACCAATTTTCTTGAAAACAAATGTAGAGTCCTGAAAAATCTTACTCATCTAGAGTGATAAAATTGCTAGAGATTGTTGAATACAATTAGAAGAAGAAGACTGTTTAGACATTGATTTGAATTTTAAATGTCAAAGATCAACTGTATCAGTTTATACACAGGTCGAGGAAACAATATTCTGTGGCGTCAGAATAAAGGATGAGGTGACTTGCGGCCCCTCGTATACTAACAAAAAATTAAATGTCAAAATTTTACTCAAATTTTTGTATGTAACTAATCACTGATATATGTACTTTTATAGAATACTATTTTTTAACAAAAATAGCAACGTGGTTTGAAAGATATAAATCTTTTATTGGGGTAGGGGTATCATGTTTACATTCAATTCCCATTCCATTTTAACCCCGCCCCACTCTTTGAAGCCCTTAAAATATACGAGCGCAGATAGGTACAATTTTCTCCTTTGGCTGATCACTGTATTTTATTGAAATCTACCTATATGTGAAAGGAGAAAATTGTACCTAACTGCGCTCACATGCTATTTTTTAAAAAATTGTAAAATCTAGTTGGCCTTTCCCATTATAAACAGATCGACGGAACTAGATTTTCTGACGCAAGAATAAATTCATATGTTAATCGAGGCACAGGCGATACTTTCTAACTGACAAATCAGCTACTAAATGAAATTCGTTACGAGTGAGTACCACAAAAATACTATGGAAACATGCTTGGAATTTTACTGCTTTCCGATATT